GTATGTATGTATGTATGTATGTATGTATGTACGTATGTATGTGTATATGTACATATGTATTTGTGTGTATGCGTAAGTATACATAAATGATACATTTACATATATATATATATATACTTGCAAGTATACTATAACGTACTCCGATACCCCTATTCTAATGAATTAACGCTCCTGCATCACACAGCCACAGCTGTCCGACCCAACCCCAGTTCGTTCTTCTGACGGAAGTCATCGCTGGCTGTCGTCACTTCAATTCAACAAGGAATACTTTTTAGGGTTTAGAGTGATCACATTCCTCATTGCTCAGGAGATGCTCAATGCACAGAAAGCACGCTTATTGCCGCCTGTCTGCAGCCACGTGGACTTGGAGGGGCGTACCGGCTATCCGCCGTCCTTGGCTTGTGACGAGGCTTCTCAAGCTAGGAAAGTTCTGGGCTGAGTCAGCCAGACTTCCTCTCCGAAATATCTTGACAAAGTGTGACGCTTTGCGCGGGACGTAAGACAAAACTCAGCCGAAGACATAAAGCGCCAACTAAAAACCTAAACCACAACTCTCAGCAGTTTTCTGAGGCAGGAGAACCACATGCTCTCACTCGAGTCCGAAATTGTCCGCTTGTCCAAGGACCATCTGCACGAAAAAGGGGAGCGCTAACATACTGTGTTTTGATATAATGCAGCATCGTATGATACAGTGCAATATAGCATTATGTAACATGATACAACATGATATAGTATAGCAAAAACAGTATAGTGTGGTCCAATACATTTATATATGTATATGTATATTGGTACATGCATATATGTATATACAGATATTCATCATATGCAGATGTAATGTAATTCCGTATAACACGATACAAAATAGTATAACAGAATCAGAACTGAATATTGTACAATACAAAGAAAAAGTGATAAATTTAGATTCTAGATGTGTGTATATATACACACACGGACACACGTAAACGCGCATGCACATTCATGGACCAACTCGTGATGTTGTAATGTCTACTTTATATCATAGTATGATGTATAATATTATGCTATATGTTTACTGAAATGTGTGTGTGTGTGTTTGCATGCATATATGTACTTATGTCATGGCTTTATCTATTTGTTGTTTGTTTCTTGAGTTTTTTACTTATAAACAGCATGTGCGCACAGCCACATTCGGCAGCATTAGTATTGAGTGCTTCTTGGCTGACTGGGACGTTCACGGGAAGTGTTCTCGTCTTGTTGCTGGGTAGGGTTCTCGTTTCAAGATCCTAGAGGACGCGTACGAGCTATCGATGGAATGTCCTTTCCTTACCCCAAGCCCTAAGCCTGAAAACCCAAAACCCTAAAACCAGCTTGACGAGCCTACGAAGCTGGAGATGTGCTGTTCCTCCCGTGGCCTGTTCCAGGAGAACCAGGCGCTGCGCGCAAGCGCGGGTCTCAGAGCACCTCCCGGGTTTCAGACTTTAGCTGCTGGGGGTGCGCCTGCCGGATATGTGACTTGACCTTGGTGAAGTCAGGGATTCTAGGGTTTAGGGCTTTAGGGTTTTTATAACTGTTATAGTAACTCTTACAGTATTCCTTACAGTGACTAAGGTTCTTAGAGCTTCAGGGCTTTAGGCCGGCGAGCTGCTTGGAGATTCTTGAGCCACAAAATCCATTTAGTCATATATGGGTGGTTGTCAAAATTAGGGTCCCTTTTGGGGTACCCTAAATAATAGGTGCCGTATTATAATAAGGACCCAAAAGGGGACCATAATTTTGACAACCACCCATATGTTTCCGTGTGTCAGTGTGCAGATGCTGTCAAAGCCGTACGGCCCAGGGACATGCGGCCTTAAACCTGTTGAATATGCTACATACACAACTTGCAAGCTATGCCACGAAGACTACATGGTGAAGGTGCGGTAGCCATATAAAACCTTGCCGGTGATTTTGCCTACTCTGCATAATGCTTCCATCCCTCCTCCCACTCTCGAGGTTCTTTGCGCGTCAGCGCCAGTACTTTCAGCAGCCAGTAGCACATCGTTTCTTCTCCAAGCGCAGGTGTGGAAGCCGCCTACATGGTAAATCCGGTGTCGCTTGACTGCCACATGAGTTGGTTCAACTTGTGGATTCAGTGGTTCGGATTCCCAAAGCCATGGCACCTGTTCACAGGTCCAGTGCTGCATTAGGCGACAGGCTTGGGGCAGGGGCACCACTTTATTTTCCCTGAAGAGAGTCGAACGTGCCCATAACCCTACAAAACCCTAAACCCTAAACCCCAAACCCCAAACCCTAAACCCTAAACCCTATCCTTAACCACCCTCAACCCGAGCTACTAAACCCTAAACCCTGAATCCTAAACCCGAAAGGCCCTAGTTAAACGTCGGCTCCAGGTCCCTCAGACAGCACTCCCCGAAACTGAATTACAAGAAGACCATGATTATGGATAAAATATTTGGGGGGTTCTATATATGATTAGGGGTTTAGGGGTTTAGGGTTTAGGGTTGAACTAATATTTTTTGGGGGGGTTCCTTATTATCATTATTGGATGATCAGCCCCAAAACCCTAGTCTAATTATGAGGCCATTTTTGCCTTCAGCTGAGGCAAAGTCCTAAAGGCTACGAGGATATCCCTCCTGCCTACCTTGCCTGGACGCCTGCAGCCTCAGGAACCCTGCAATTCCAATGCCCAATCCGATGATGCTTCCCACTCCAGCAGCTTGAATTGAATCAGAAAATGCAGGTAGCGATGCCCAGGTCTGGATCAATTTCTTCGAAAGGGACTGCCTAGCAGCTTTGGTACAGCATCTCACAGTTTCGTTGGGATCGAGTTGGTATCGGTTGGTATCATCTGCAAGCATCGCGAAGTCTGCGAAACCCGAGATCAAACCCAGCATCATTGGAATAATAATATTTTGGGGGGGTTCCTTATTATAAGTGTAGTATAATGTTCCGCAAAAGCCTGTTCTAATCATTAAGGCCTCTATATTAGACCTCAAAACTGAACCTCGAGCCCGGGCTCTACACGTCGAGGGCTGCAGTGCTTTTTCTGTCGGAGTTGTGTTGGTGGGTACTATAGGGGCCTTAAGAATTATCTATGCTATTTGGGGGTGTCCGTATTATCGTTATGGTATAGTATACCCCAAAACCCTATTCTAACTATTAATAGTATGGATGGCAGCCTGCGAGACAGTCCGTCTGAAAGGAGTGCTCACATGTCTGCCTTTGGAGCACTGAGTACGGCTTGTCAAGAACGAAGACTTGTTCAAAGCACAGTGCCTCGGTCTAGGGTTTAGGGTCTAGGACTGCAGGCTGGATGGTTTCTTAGCTTGCCAGGTCCCCCGTCGCACGATAAATGCAGAGACAGATGCCAGGGCTGTCCGAAACTGCACACCCCCATCAAAGTTCGTTTGCTACACCTCTAGCATAACGCTGGTTTGAAGGTTCTTTGCTCCTTCAGCCTTCAAAGTCTTTCCTGCAGCAAAGCGTGACTTCGGAAGAAGGAATTTGCGGCATCGAGGACGCAGACCTACGGGTGCACATGCTCAGAGAGCCCAATACCCCCTAATTAAGAAATATGCCACTAAATCACAAAGCGCTTCGTGTTATGGGTAAAGCTCGACTTCTTAATTAAGGGTATTGGGCTCTCTGGGTGCTCCAGCCAGTGAATGAGGTGCACCGTCATACAACGCGAGTGTTGATGTGATCGGGGAGAACATCGAGAAGTTGAATGCTTCACATGGCTCGTCAGAAAGACGAGAGCCCCATACGGACATGTGAAACAAGAACAGATCGCGACAGTAGATGTACAATCTACGGGCCGCCGCTCCACACGAGACAGGTTTAAACTTATGACAAAGCACAGCTGTAGCGCCACAGGACAAGAGCGCAAGAAGCAAGAAAAGAAATCGATCATCATGCTGGCATGGCTTGGAGAGATTGCAAGCAGGTTAAGTTGATGCTGGCTTCGGCAACATGGAAGAAGCTGTTAGCTTGATTAGGATGCAGTGCGGCATCTTCGAGTCGAACTCCCCAGAGTCTCCACAGCCCCCTAATTAAGGAATATACCTTAAATTATAATAGGATACTTAATATGATTTAAGGTATCTTCCTTAATTAAGGGGTTTTGGAGTCTCTGGGTCTCCTGGTCTTCAACTTGCTCACAGGAGTGTGGGATCATGTTGAGGCTGCGAAAGAGTCGAAGAAAGCAGCACAAGAAGGGTTCCCTATAGGGTCTTCTTTGAGGGGCTCCTGGCCATTTAGGGATTTGGCGCATTCTAGCTCAGACATGAACCCTAAAACCCTAAACCTTCAACCCTAAACCCTAAACCCTAAACCCTAAAACCCTCAAACCTTAAACCCCAGACATGAGGTTCTCATGCCAGTGGAGACAGCTGGCAGCGCACGGCACCCAGTCAACGCCTGGCCTCAGGATGCAGCGAGGTTTCAAATCGGGTTTAGGGTTTAGGGTTTACGGCTAGGTAATAATTACCTACATTGTTTTGGGGGGTCCTTATGATTATAGTACAATGGGCCCCAAAGCCCCATGCTAATTATTAAGACCCCTACATTGATTAAGACAAAGACGAACTTGCGCACAGCTGATGCTCACAGAGCACAGTGCTCCTCACTTGCTAAGAACCAGAACTAGGTTGGCTTTTGGGACATTTTTTATTTTCCTTATTTGGGTTTATATGGGACCCTTTATATAAATATTTTTCAGAGGGTCTATACGCCAACCCAGAGAAGTTCACTGCGCTTGAGGCTCCTGTCCGGAGACTTGTTCGGGTTGTGTTCCTGCTGTGTAGCTGAGGCGGTTTCGGGTTTAGGGTTTAGGGTTGAGGCATGCAACATCGATCCTGTCCTCCCAAGGCCTGTTCTCAACCTACAAACTCGGGGCCCCTAATTGGCGAACTTTATGCTAAGAGTCCACAATCGGCTCTTTATAAGGCCAAGCATTCTCGGAAGCTCCCAAATCCCCAATCCCCATAAACCCCACAGACCGTGACCGAGCACCGGCCAAGGGTGGCTGCCCTGGCATTGGAGCCACGATGCCGCTCTCGGGTTGCATGTCAGCGGGGCTTCAGGCTAGAAAGGGTCTTGAGGTTTAGGCGTTGGGGGTTTGAGAGATAGGGGTTTAGAGCTTAGGGTGTTCAATGTGTGTTGAAACGCTGGGAATCGTCAGCACTGTCTGGTTTCGAAGCACAGTTGGAGCAGTTTGCGTGGTTCTGGCAGGGTTGGCACCCCCCCAGCCCCACGACCTCAAATCACGGACCTTGTACTTTCGATCCTAAAGCTTATATGCGTGTAAAACATATCTGCACGTGGCTTGACCAGAAGTGCCGCAAGCGTGACGAAGGACAGTTCATGGAAGCTCATGTAGCATGGAAAGCTGGAATAAGTAGTACTATTTTTCCTTAGGCCTCCTTAAAAATAAGAGCATACTTTTGCAAGAGCCCAACACCCTTTTCTAGTTCTTAAGGGCACCTCTACTAACCTGACGCAGACACGCTTGGACTGATGGTCCTACCCTAAACCCTAAACCCTAAACCCTAAACCCTAAACCCTAAACGGGTTTAGCGTCTAGGGTTTAGGGTTTAGGATTTAGGGTTTTTGGTTTGGGGTTTAGGGTTTAGGGTTTTTGGTTTGGGGTTTAGGGTTTAGGATTTAGGGTTTGGGGTTTGGTTGAGGGCCGAGGGTCCCCAAAACCCCTAAACCCAGAACCCTTCACAGTCCCAGAGCCCTGAACCCCAAGCCCTAAGCTCCTTCACCCCCCAAAAAAACCCTAAACCCCTAATCCCTTACTCGAGTACGAGGGCACGGCCAGGTTTTCCAACAGCAGGAACGAAAAAGGTATGATCACAATCTTGGTACACTTCTCGATTTAAAAGCTTCCGGACATGCCTGCGGGTCATCCTTGCTGCAGGGGCCATAAACCTGCGACGGAATCGTGTCATCCTTGCTGGCAGGGGCCATGCATGCCGGTCAAAGTACCTGCGCTCCCCCTTTTGGTCGTTACCTCCTCGCTGTATTGCGACATCATCACCCACAAGCTACATTTACTTCCTTTGTGGTGTCGGTGAATTGTAGCTCTCCGGTCCACCGAGACTATTTCAACGACCCGGACAGCTTGAATTATGTTGTTGGCGGTGCCGAGCATTTGCGTGGCGGGCTTTGGATCGAGGTAGGTTCGGAGGTTGCCCGCTCTGCGGCTCCGGGTGCTTTGCATTTTCGCGAGGTTGCGCCGCGCAGGTGGCTGCCTGGAATGATGTGGGATACGGTAGGTGCATCGTTCTCCTTTCCCCCGCACCGATTTCATGCCGGGGACTCGTGGTCAGGCCAGAAGTACCTCCTGGTTGCATTCACTCTCAACCGATGTGTGCGGGCCTCTTCTTCGGTCGTCACGGAGCTAGCTTCTGCGGACTTTCCGTTGCCCTCTTGCTGCCCTGCGTTTGACGCAGGGGGGGGAGCCCACAGTAAATTTTCGCTGAACGCTTTGATTGGCCCGCATACTTCAGCTCAAGAGCCTTCCTCCGGTGCTGGACTCTCGGTCTCTGTTGACGAGGTTGATGCAGTGTCTGACTTTAGCGAAGAGGCTTCTGGTTTGGATAGTGTCGGCAAGGTTGAGTCGGAGTTGTGGTTTGAGGCTGCTGAGAAAGTGTCCTTCCTTCAGGTTGAGGCTCGGAGCTTAAACTGTTGCCACGATAATGAGACTAATCTTGATGACCCCCTTGGGTCTTTGGTGCTGGTAGACGGTCCGGTGGAGACCTGTGTTGGGCAGGGGTTAGAAGAGCTTAATAGGGCTCGGGTTAACCTTCGTAGCATGCAGGCGGTTAGTAGCTCATGTAGTCCCGTCAGTGAAATCTTCGGTGTGCGCTCTGAGGGCATAGAAAATCTTCTTGCGTATTATCAGGTGTTGTCGGGTCCGGGGGAGTCCAAGAACCCCTCAGTAGCCAAAGAGGTTTATCTCAGAGGACTGGGGGAGTCCTCCTCTGCATCTGATACCCTTGTACCGGATCATGAGCCACCGCCGTTGCAAACGAAAACTGTGAGCCTCGACCAGGTCAAACGCGAGCTTGCGTTGTGGAGGCCAGCGATTAGTGCAGAATATGACAGCCTCCGAGTGAAAGGAGTGCTGAGGCCGATTTCTGAACAACAAATTGCTGAGTGGATTGCTCAAGGACGCGTTGTGCTGCGTTTGCCCTCAAAGGGAGTCTTTACTCGCAAAGCGGTGACAGGCTTGAGGAAGGCTAGATGTGCTGCCTGCGGCAACCATGGTCCTGCAGCTGGCGACTCTGCGTATGAACATCGCCTGCTCACGTATGCAGGAGGAATCGATGCAAGTGCCCTACGAGTGTCACTGGCAATCATTTCCCAGCGCCCTGATTGGGAGGTCTGGGTGACAGATGTCAAAACAGCCTTTTTAAACGCAAAGTTGTCTGACGGTGTGGAAAGCAATCTGGCTGAAGCAAAGACCGAGGAGCTAATCGTACTGGATCCGCCCCGCATCTTTCAGCTTGCCGGTGTAGTCAGTAAATGGGAGCGGTGGTTAGTGGAAGGTGCATTGTATGGCTTGGATCGGTCGCCCAGATGTTGGGCAAGCCTTAGGGACCGCACCCTTAAGACAGTTAGAGTTAAGGTTGGGGACACGGTCATATGCTTGAGACAGCTAGTTTCCGAGCCAAATGCCTGGCTGCTCGTGGCAGAGTCGGAAGGCATTGTCGGCCTTCTGGTCGTCTATGTCGACGACTTAATGGTTGGAGGGGTGACAAAGTATGCGTCCGCAATCCTGGCCGAAATCCGCAGCATCTGGCAATGCTCTGAGCCGGACCAGCTAAGCCCTAAGAGCCCTGTGCGCTTCTGTGGTGTTGAGATAGAGAGGCAAGGCCGAGCGCTCTTAATCCACCAGGCATCATACATAGAGGATGTTGTTAAGCGCTATGAGGAGAGTCTTGGGGCTCCACTTGTGGAGACTTCGTGTCCTTTTCCAAAGGTTCAAGACCCAGAGGAGCCGGAATCTTCTTCCCCAGTTGCTTTGAGGAAGGCCCAGGCACTTGCAGGTGAACTTTTGTGGGTGTCAGGGAAGACCAGGGTTGACATTGTCTATGGAGTTGCGAGGGTAACATCATTGGTGAGTCGGTGCCCGGAGCTTGCGTTTAAGCTCGGTCTACACATCCTCTGCTATCTTAAGGGCACTAAAAGGATCGCTCTGAAGTACCAGTGCACCGATGACCAGCCTCCCCATGGTGTGCATAATGAGCGTCGTGTCACGGCCCTTCCTTACCTGCTTGAATCTTTCACCGATGCCAGCTTCGCTCCAGCTGGAGACAGAAGCTTCGAAGCCGGCCTTGTACAAGTCGGTCGCAACTTAGTCTTCTGGTCTGCAGGCAAGCAGCCGTTTACGGCTCTCTCCACAGCAGAAGCCGAGCTGCTTGGAGTTCTAGAGGGGGTAGCTTTGACTGAATCCCTGGAAGGGTTGGTGCATGAGCTTCACCCAGGGATTCCGAGGTTTCCAGCGTGTCAGGCGTTCTGTGACAACCTTGCCTCGATATCAATTGCTTCCTTTGAGAGTGGCAACTGGCGAACACGCCACTTGAGAGTCCGTTCTCAAGCATTTCGGGAGAGGCTCCAGTCTGGAAAGTGGCATTTGTCACATTTAAAGGGGGAACACATGCTGGCAGACATTGCTACTAAAGTGCTACCTGGAGCTCGGGTTAAAGAGTTGCTGCTATTGTGTGGATACGAGGTACCAAGCATGAGGGTTTCCGCTGCGAGGCTAAACCTGTTGAAGCAAGCATTGGCATTGATTGTGGTCGGTTCGCTGCCTGTTCAGGCCCAAGGAAAGGGAGGAGTCGAAGGATCAAAGCAGGATGACTGGAGTAGCAGGTGGGTTTTGATAGTTTTGGGTATGGTTGTGGTTTTTGGGAGTCTTCTGGTTGGGGCCATTGGAAGGTTCTTTAGCATACGGCGTGCAGAGCCAGTCGCGGATGGCCTTGAACAGCCGGAGCTTGAACCCATTCCGCTCTCCGAGCAAATCCCGCAGCCTATAGTCATCGCTGACTACGACGATGGACTGCGCTGCCGTGGCAGGGGGGCTAGACCAAGGCGAGTTAGCACCGGGGTAGGCCCAGATAT